CCCCAAAACCCCAAAACCCCAAAACCCCAAAACCCCGGGTTCGATACGAAATATTGAGAGAGGTTGGTATAATTTAGTTTGATTTTGGTGACGAAAATGGGTGATATTAAGCTTATTATTTTAGAAGAAGTACAAGAATAAAATTGTTAAGGATGTGCCGATAGCCACTACTAAGATGATGGATATAAATAATATTCTCTCACTTCTACTCAACGATCTATATAAATTTTAGAGTATTTTTAAAGAGTAATTTTATTAAAATGGTCAAGGTCAATTCAAAGAATATAAACAAGAGGTTTAGATGTTATCACTTGCATATCTAAATTCTAATTTGCTACTTCAAAATTTATCCTTGATTAAGAAGCTCATAAATTCCATCAAATAAAAAGAACATTCAAAAATACATCATCAAGTAAAAACGAAATGTCATTGTGAGCACCTGGTAAGATCAATTCTCATATTCTCACTTGGAGGAGGAAAAAATGAGTCTCTCGGGTCAACATTTGAATTTCTTATCGATTGTCCTCCGACATCATTCCTAAATATAATTAAGATGAGCAATAGAGATTTTGGTATACCTAAACACAGAGTTCATGTACTGGCCAAAATTATCTTCATCAATAACCAGATCGTCAGATTCTATGCTATCAACATGTTGGTCGCTTTCTTTGGTCTTTTTAGAGTTTCCCAAAGGATTTTGATCAAGAGATGCATTGCTTGGATCAGTTCATGTAATACTTCCCATAAAAAGTTCCGAAGAAGGATTTTGATCGGGTACTAAGCGGATATGATTTTTATTTAGAGACTATAGATATCTTACTCTTCCCAGATAGGTTTACTCCTTCATAATGAGTTTGCTTATTCTCTTCTCTCAGCCTAAAATTTTATAAATTTCTGCTTCCAGCCTCTTAAAAGATGATTACGCTTCTTCTGGCAAATAATTGTAGCCTTCCATAGATCGCGAGCCATTCATATTTTCAATTATTATAATGATAATTGGGGTTTTGGGGTTTTGGGGTTTTGGGGTTTTGGGG